CTCGTTGTGTTGAGAAGAAAAAGAGACACCCATTTTAGAATTTCTATGTATTATTTTCGCCTTTTCGACTTACGACCTGGTCGAGGACGGAACCCTCTTGTAAGTCGAGGAGAGACTGTATATAATTTGACTTCAAAATAAATTGAGAAGCTAAATCAGTGTTGGTGGAGTGGCGATAACGAGGGAGGCATGACTTAGCAACAGGCGACATGTTCTCAACAATGCTGAGAAACTTGAGGATGATTTAATGAGTGCTGAGCCCAGCCTGCAACACAGTAACAAACTCAATGCACAGTTAGACAGTTTGGTAGAACGTTACCATGAGTTTAAACAACGTCGCCAAGCTCTCGTCCTCGCCTAATTTATGCCTTAACAATTCAAGGAGAATCCAGCGACAATGACCCTGCCACTCTGAAGATTGTTGATGAAGCTGAAGTTGCTTTACAAGAGGTTTGCAGTTGATTTTGAAGGTTTTAAACCTGCTGCCATAAACCTTTATCATCTCCCAGACATTCTCACACCCCCACTATTCAGTGGAGTATTGCATAATTAACTTCCTGGGCATTCTTAAAATAGTTATTTAATAATTTAGAAGCAGTTTATGTGACATTACAATCTCCTCGACTTTTACAACCCAGACATACAACCGACATGGTCGTATAAAATATTTTTCACATTACGTATTTTCGAGTCCTGACGTTTGGTCGTAATGTGACGCCGCATTTACAGCTTGGGCTTGGACGCCTCGTGGTGTGGCAGCACCACACTGTAGCCTGCTCAGTTGGTGTTTGGCCGCCGTTGTTGTTAGTGATCGCTATTAGTGTACTGACAAAATTTTTCGTATAATTCCCTTTAAAATGGCTGGCAAACATAAAAGTGAGAGTTCTCGTGGTGCTGAGAAGAAAAGAGACAGTTAATTACTTTTTGAGATGAAAATGAAAATAATAATGTGATATGAAAATGGAAAAAACGGTATCAACCATTTCACGCTAACTTGGCTTTCCTCACTCGACAATATAAAAATTTTGAAGCGACAAGGAACTAATTAAGAGGTAGTGAAAGGATCAGCACCTATAAAGGGAACAATAATAACGAAAAAAAGACAAGGTCCTCTTCATGAGATGGAGAAATTACTTGTGCTGTGGATGGAAGATCAACTGCAAAAGCGTGACCCTTAAGTCTTCTAACCATACAGGCTAAGGCAAGAAGCATTTTCGAAAGCCTGAAAGAGCAGGCAGGAGATGAGTGTGACCAAAATTTCACAGCAAGTCATGGGTGGTTCCAAAGGTTTAAGAAACGTTACAATTTGCACAGTGTAAAGGTGAGTGGAGAGGCAGCAAGTGCTGATGTGGGTGCTGCTGAAGCTTTTAAGGAGGAGCTAGATCGTTTCATCGTGGAGGGAAATTATTTGCCTGAGCAAATATTTAATGAGGATGAAACTGGCTTATTCTGGAAGCGCATGCCAGAACGGACATACATCCTCAAAGAGGCGAAAACCATGTCAGGATTCAAGGCATTCAAGGACCGAATCACACTTCTGTTGGGGGGGAATGTAGCTGGTTTCAAGGTAAAACCCTTCATGATATATCATTCAGAGAACCCAAGGGCTATTAAAAATGTCAGCAAGCACACACTGCCAGTGTTTTATCATAGTAATAAGAAAACATGGATGACCCTAGCACTGTTTGAGGATTGGTTCATGACTTGTTTCATTCCATGAGCCAAGGAGTATTGTCTGTAACAAGGGGTTGCGTTCAAGATTTTATTAATTTTAGATAATGCTCCGGGACACCCACCACACCTGGACGACCTGCAACCTGATGTTAAGGTAGTCTACCTTCCACCTAACACTACCTCTATCATCAAACCCATGGATCAAGGTGTTATTGCTGCTTTTAAAGCGTATTATTTACCTATGACCTTCGCTCAGGCTATTGCTGCTACTGAAGGTGAGAAAATGCTCAGAGTTTTGGAAGGACTACAACATTTTGCAATGTACAAAGAACATAGCTGCAGCATGGGATGAGGTTACAGGTCAGTGCATGAATGGAATATGGAAGAAGGTCCTGAAAAGATATGTGAACAGTTTCAAAGGATTTAATGAAGATGAAGCAATTTCTGAGATTAGTAACAAGATAGTGCAGATGGGTAAACAGCTGGAGTTAGAAATTGATAATGAAGATGTTGAGCAGTTGGTGGAAAGTGTAGCAGAAGAGCTAAGTAACAAGGATCTTATTGAACTGGAGGCACAGAAATTTGCAGAGGAAGAAGAGAGTCAAAACGTAAAAGAAGAACCTGCACCCTCCAATAAGTTTTCAGTGAAACAAATGGCAGAGGCATTTGCTATTATTAATAAGGGGATGCAAATGTTTGAAGAAATGGATCAAAATGTTGAGAGTTTTGCAAAAGTTGACAGACTGATCCAAGATGCACTTGCTTGCTACAGGGAGATTTAAAATGAAAAGAAAAGGCAAACTGTGCAGTCTAAATTGGACATATTTTACAAGAAGTCCCCCACTGCTGTCTCCTTTCCCCACCAGTGCTGCTTCTTCACTCCCTATAAATGATCCAATACCTTCAACAAGCAAGTATATTAGACTGTCTGAAGAAAGCGAACTTGATGACCCACCCAGTCCCGTCTCCTCCTCTGCTTCATCTAATTAATGTAGTCTCCATGCTTAATTAAAAAATTATTGAGGCCCAGTGTGCATTCAGCTGACTACATTAAAGGTAAGTGCACAGTAACACTTTATTCATTTTTCATTACTGATTACTTTTATTGTACCGTATTTCATTTTAGAATTTCTATGTATTATTTTCGCCTTTTCGACTTACGACCTGGTCATCGGGACGGAACCCCGTCGGAAGTTGAGGAGAGACTGTACGTATATGTCATGTTTGGAATGTTCAGTTGGTTACCCAGAGTTGTTCTAGAGTATAAGGATTGGTCAGTCCAATAGAATACTTGTACAGTTGAGTCTGGATTTACGTGGTTTTTGTTTACGCGTTTTAATTACGCAGTAAATTTCATCATTTACGCAGGTGAAGTATAATTTGTTTATTTACTGAAGATATATATGTTTTTAGCTCATAAAATATATAATTTACATTGCTGGAATCCTTACAAGATGGTGATCATTTTAAATATAAACATCTTCAAATTTGCATGAGACATACAAATTTTAGATGTAATTTAAGGAGATGATGAAAATTAGCAAACATTTTATCTTTTGTGCAAAATATATGACATTTACATTCAAAATATTCCCTGTCCTGTAAGGAATCCAACAATGTCAATTATATTATCCTAACTTTAGTCTGAGGTATTATTTATTACTAAAAATGCAAATATACTGTTTTAACCCAAACATTTCTCTGGTAGGGAGGGAGGGACCCAGTGAGCGTGGGTAGAGAGGGGGAGCGGGAGGTGGGGTATTTTGATTGACAGATAGTGTCTGGGTGAAGTATAATTTGTTTATTTACTGAAGAAATTTGTTTTTAGTTCATAAAATTCATACAAATTACCAGGCCAGAATATAATTTACATTGCTGGAATTCTTACAAGATGGTGACCATTTTAAATATAAACATCTTAAAATTTGCATTAGACATACAAATTTTAGATGTAATTTAAGATGATGATGAAAATTAGCAAACATTTTACCTTTTGTGCAAAATATATGACTTTTACATTCAAAATATTCCCTGACCTGCAAGGAACCCAGCAATGTCAATTATATTATCCTAACATTAGTCTGAAGTATTATTTGTTACTATTCCTTAAAATCTAGTGTTTTCACCCAAACATTTCTCAGAGAGGGAGGAGCCAGCGAGCGTGAGAAGAGGGGGGGGGAAGTTGAGTCCATTATTTGAATGGACATTAACCGGGTGACTGTTTTCTCTTAAATATTAATTGTGTGTGCATACCATCATAAAATTAAGATGTTATTTTTACTACAACGTAGGTATTGTGTCGGAAAAAGTGGAGTTTGGGGGCCGGCCCAGTCTCTATTTCAATTAATCCCATATGTTCTGTTATTTCATTTATGCATTTCTCATTTTACGCGGGCCTCCACAGGTTCAATTGACCGCGTAAATGCAGACTCAACTGTATGCATAGCCATTTTAATACATGAAAAAGGGCCTCGCTTGAGCAGATTTCCAATGTGCGGACGTGTACCAGTACGATATACCCACGCAAAATGAAACTCCACTGTGTGTGAGACTAGCATTCACCCCCAAAAAGGCATATTTATAGTCATGTTATAAGAATGTGAATGTCTGTGTCACCTGTAGTGATGCAAATTGAATAGAATGTCATTCAAAATCCATTTTCACTAAAGTGCTGGTACACTAAATAGGCCTTCACAAAGAAAATTCTGCTCTGCACATCCACCTCATGGTTTAAATCCAGGGTCAAATCCGGCGGGGGGGTTCCTGACACCCCAGCAGAAAATTCTAATAATTTTTCTTTGATACTAAGATATTTTTGCATAGCAATAAGTAATGACTATTGACCTCAGAATATCTCCTAATATTAAGTGCACATAGCCTCAAAATGGCCTCAAAATGTTCATGATAATGGTCAGATTTCTAACAAACTTAGGGGGAGGGGGTGTTAGCGCACACCCCTTAGTTGGGCGGGCTCACTGTGCTCGCCATGCTCCCTCACCCACAACTTCTTGGACCCCCTTTTTGATATTCCTGGATCTGCCCCTAAAATCTCAGTACATTACTGGTCACTCATGAAGCTCCAAAGGCAATAAATATTTCTTGACTTCTCTCACAGTTATACAATATTTTTCCAAATAACAAGCATGGCTGTCAGGTGATCAGGCATCTTACACCTCAACAGCTATAAAATCCTCTCTGCTATGGTTACAAATGATACCTAGAAATACCTGATGACTGTCCCGACTGTCCCAAAAGTGTGATCCCCCACAACTTAAATCTAAACAGTACTTTGGTATCTTTAACTAATCAAACTTAATTTATCCTACCTGAAATTGAGCTCACGGTTTCCAGCACTAATCAAAACTGGAGTGCCTGGTTTGGGAAAATCACAAGTGCACTGCTGGAATTGTAGATATCCATAGTACTTTAGTGTTCTTGCTAGTTCCAAATACTGAAATCAGAGAATTGATCTTCTGTAAAATAACGTAAATAATTTCATATGAAACATAATTAATGAATAAATACAAATTCAAATGTCAGAAGCCATCTGAAAAAGGATAGTGTAATGTACTGGTTGGAAAAACTGAAAAAGAAAATAAGGTAAGATTGATTAAAATGCAAGATTAAAGTATCATACAGCATTCCATAGTATTTTACAGCCACAGGGAAGAGATAAGTAGCCGAGGGAGAAATAATAATAATAATTGCTGTTCTTTTATTTCCCAAGCGCCAGTTCTTCTGAAGAATTCACCAGTGCTCGAAATATTACAAAACCAAGGACCTGAAAATAAAAACCAAAAAAATCACTAAGTACTACGCAAAATCATCTCAGAACTTGTGGTCAGAAAATTTAGTAAGTTGGCTAAATACTTGAGCGCACTGAGTGCCTTCAAAGTCAATAAGCAGAGCTGGAACTCTATTCTAGCTATAATTGGAAGCCAATGCAATTCGATAATGAAAAAGTAGTGGGAGTTCTCGGTGGGAGAGCAAAAATATGCCTGGCAAACCCTGTTCACCACAGTCTGAACTTTCTTCAGTAGATAATTAAGTACACAGACTCAATAAAGAGTTAACAACAGTCAATCCAAGATAAGTGAATGTAATAGTGTCACAAGACACTGTCTATCCAAAAGCTGTTTCACAGCATGCAGATTTCAAATATGAAAGGTGCAACTCTTAACAAGTGAATTTATATGCTCTTTAAAATTACTTTTTGACTCAGAAATAACAGGACTGAGTTGCACTTCCTCAAAATTAAAGAACTAAACTCATCTGTGGTGTCACCCTCCTATGTCCTTGGATGACAATTATCTTGTTTTGTCAACAATCGGCTTAAGTTTTCTCAGAGTCATCCAAATTTTAATATCAGATGTCAAGGACTTCATTACAGTAGAACCTTGTAAATTGGAGTAATTTGGGAAGACCCTAGTTAAAAAAATGTGAAGGTCCAAGACAAGCAAATCTATAGGGATGGGGGGGGGAGGAGGAGGAGTTGGAGATAATATAGCTTATCTGGACTGTTTAAATACAAACAGTTTGTTATAATGTTATTACTGTGCTTCAACAACTAAGTTTTTAAGTGTTTAACAAGGTTATTAAAACTACTACATAAACAATAAAAAATATGAAACAGAACTCTCTGGGTTGAAAATTGGACATATGTTTGGTTGTGAACAACTGTTTTCACAGAGATGGTTGTTATGTACAGTACAGTATTGTAAAGTGTTATGTGTAAGTTACCATAGAATTTGTCTTAAAATAAAGATAAAAATGTATACTGCACAGTACTATAAAAAAAAATTAGAAAAAATAAGTGTAGGGGGGTATATTGTGGTTGGGAGATGTGAGTGATCTGGGAGAAGCAGGTGGGGAAGGGGGGGTGGAGCACAGGTGGGTGGCTCACCCACCTGTGCTCCACCCCCCCTTCACATCATTTAGGTTCATTTGGTGCCATTGATAAAATATCATAAAAGAATCAACTTTCCTGAAAAATGAATCCCGCTCAACACCATGAATCGTTTATTTACAAAGAGCAAGCAGGTCATCGGCTTAGCTCCTTTACCACTCATGCTTACCACAACATCTGTCTTCAACATTTAGTAAATTAGTACAGCACTAGTGTGTTTATCATCACTTAATAAATAATATTGTAGTGTATTTATCAGCACTTAGTGTACAGTACAGGTTGGACCCCACTAATCCGGGACCCGACACTCCAGCAGCTTCAATGGTTCGAGAAGGTATCAGTAGACCGATAATATACAATTTTCTCTTTGCTTTTTCTGTTAATCTTATGGGGAAAATTAGAATACGTTCAACAACTACCAAAAGTCCACAGTAATGCTATAAAATTTTTGAAAAAATCATTACAATACTCTAATGTAGATTACAAATAAGATAATACAGTGGTCCCTCAGTTAACGAACTCAATTCGTTCCAGAAGGTCGTTCGTTAACCGAAAATCTCGTTAGCCAAAACCATTGTTTCAATGGGATATTGGGTAATTGGTTCCAGCTCACAGAAAAGTATCTACAAAGTAAAGCCAAAAATGCATAAAATCAGACACACTCCTAAAATTCCCCTAAATTGCCCTTAGTGGGGTCCAACCTGTACTGTACACTAAGTGCTGATAAATACACAACAATATTATTTATTAAGTGATGATAAACACACTAGTGCTGTACTAATTTACTAAATGTTGAAGACAGATGTTGTGGTAAGCATGAGTGGTGAAGGAGCTAAGCCGATGACCTGCTTGCTCTTTGTAAATAAACGATTCATGGTGTTGAGCGGGATTCATTTTTCAGGAAAGTTGATTCTTTTATGATATTTTATCAATGGCACCAAATGAACCTAAATGATGTGAAGGGGGGGTGGAGCACAGGTGGGTGGCTCACCCACCTGTGCTCCACCCCCCCTTCCCCACCTGCTTCTCCCAGATCACTCACATCTCCCAACCACAATATACCCCCTACACTTATTTTTTTCAAATTTTTTTTATAGTACTGAATATCATGAACACTTGCTGTGGAAGATAATTTTATTCATCCACCAGTTTCTTAAACTCCACTACAAACTTTGCTGCTCCTTCTTTATCTGCACTGGCAGCCTCACCATGCCTAATAACACTGAAAATGTCACTTCTTTTCTTAAATTTTTCAAACCAGCCCTTGCTTGCCCGAAAATCTTCGAACTCTGTGCCAGAAGAACCAGGTTGATCTTCTTTTTAATGTTCGTAAATTCCCCAGGCTCTTTCACAAATAAATTCTGTAGAAACTGAATCACCTTTCATTTGTTTTTCCCTAATCCAAATGAGAAGTAACCTCTCTGTTTCTGCTATCAATGATCTACCTTTAAACAGTCCGGTAGATTTGTCTCTCACTTTCACTTCCTTGAACTTGTCTTTCTGTGCAAGAATTGTCGACACAGTTGATGCCGACATGCCATAGTCTTTACTAAGCACATTTGTTCTAATGCCCTGTTCATGTTTCTTTATTATTTCCTGTTTTACCTGGATTGAAATAACTTTTCTCGATTTCTTTGGAGCCATGCTGGATTCAATTTCAACTCTGAAATTTTAAGTTTTATTGCTGTAAATAAAGAATATTTTCTTTAAATCAACACTGCACTGCGCTATATATTATCAATATATAAAATATATTTCAAAATGACCAATAATTTGGCTGTAAAAATGGAAAAATAGTTAATGTTCAAGAGAGTCTCAAACAAGATGTTCCCTCCACTGAACAGATAAACAAACTGACGCCAAGCTTGGTGTGTTGAGTGGCTGTTTGGCGTGCTAAAAACTAGTTTCCTGTACTTCAATTATGTTCAATAATTGTTAAAATGACTAAAAATTTAAATGAAACTTTTAAAATTATTGAATAGTACAACCTTCTTGATATTTACTCAAATGGTAATGAATTTAAGCACTAGAACCGATTACTGTATTGGTGGACTAATGCTACAGCTGGTGAGCAGGCGAAAACATGTTGGGAAAAATTCGTAAGGAATTCGTAAACCGAATTTTTTCGTTAACCGAATTGAATATTATTATGGAAGGTAATTCGTTAACCAAAATTTCGTTAACCGAGGCGTTCGTTAACCGAGGGACCACTGTATGTACATGGGCTGAAATTTTTTTTATTTTAGTATTTTTGTTATGGGAGAGGAGTGCCTTGATAAGTCGGAATTTGGGATAATTCGGCAAGTCCAGAGCTCCATATGTACCGATTTATCAAGGTTTTACTGAACATGGAAAAACATTTAATGATGGGGGATATATAAAGGAGGCTTTCCACAACAGCTCTGAACTTTTATTTAGTGATTTCCCAAACAAACACAAAATAATCTCAAGGATAAAGGACATGCCTGTTTCGGCTAGGAGTTTAGAGAGGCGTATATCAGACATGGCTTCAAATATAAGTGAACAGCTAACTGTTGCATTAACAAATGCAACTGGGTTCAGTGTGGCTCTTGATGAGTGTGTTGATATTAATGACATTCCACATTTAGCTCTTGTTGCCAGGTACAGTGACACAGAAGTACATGAGGAGCTATGCTGCTTTTAAAACCTATGCATGGAACTACCCAGGGAAATGACATTGTTAAAATGTTTTCTCATCTTTTTGAGAAGAGAGGAGTTAACATTAAGAATATTTTTACAGTTGCAATGGATGACACTCCTGCAATGGTAGGAAAGCACAAGGGATTTGCCAAGCTAATTGAGGATGAAATGGGCACCCCATTCTGAAGTTGCATTGTATTGTTCATCAGGATAATCTTTGTGTCAGAATTTCAAAATCAAATCTTAATAAGGTGATGGCCACTGTGACAAATTTGTGAATTTTCTTGTTGGACAATCTGCTCTTAAACACAGACAATTTTGTTCTTTTCTTGATGAGATGGAGAGTGCTTATCGAGACATACCTCTTCACTCCAGTGTTAGGTAGTTAAGTTTTTGGAAGGTTTTAGAATGGTTTGTGGAATGCTTTGACGAAATTAGGACCTTTTTGACAGAAAAGGGTGAAAAATACCCAGAGCTGGAAAAAAACGAGTGGGTAGTGAAACTTATGTTTTCATCAGACATCACCAAACACCTCAATGATCTCAACCTTTGCCTGCAGGGTGCAGGACAAACAGTAATGGATCTGTATGACACTTGCAAGGGTTTTGTTGCAAGGCTAGCAGTTTACTAGGTGACCTCACTGAGTGAGGATGTGTCCCCTGGCTCTCCGCAGTGTAATAAAGATTTTATGTCCCTAATTTAATGTAACATATTTTTATGTTCCAAATTACTCTTATATTTTCTTTTACTTATTCCTGTTATTCTTTCTCGTTATACTCGTGAGAGGTAGAAGGAGTGAGGGAGGTACCGGGTAATTGTTTATGGTTGCTGATCGGCTGGTGATATAGGCTTCCATTTGGCCCTCCCACATACACCAGCCAGGG